AAGCTTCCTCGGCAGAGAAGGATCCCTGAGAGGTGGGGCAAAGACTCTCGGCTGACCCACCTCTTCCTTTGCTCCCACCTCCCCAATAAAGTCTTCTTTAACCTCCTCCCTGGTCGGAGACCACGCTCGTCCTGCTGCATCCCCCAGAAAGCCCCTACTATGGCCTCCCTCCCCGCAGCCCTCCTCCTCCTCCTCGCTTTAAAAGCATCCAAAAGATGGGGAGCTTTTCGCTCGCCTCCCCAACTCCTCTCGCTCGAGGCTCATCACCGGCCTCTCCCTCCCCCCCCCCAAAAAAAGTGCGGAACCCCTCCCCCTTTCCCCCAAGGTTTCGAGGTCCTTCGCCTCACAAACGAGGCTGCTGCGGTGACTTAACGATTCGCCTTTTCTTCAGCCACCAAGCCAGGCCTCCCCGGTCGGCCGCCCAGCTTCCCAACGCTCTCCGCCCCCGAGCCGAAAGCTCTCGAGTCTTTTCTTCCCACAAACACACGCACACAAAACGCACACGCGAGCCGCCTTTTAAACACGCGAGAACCATGACTTTAAACCCATTCCCACCCGGCTGGGCTTCCCCACGTTCTCCTCCTTCCCCGGCTCTTTCCCCGCTCCTCGGGAGGCGGCTCTTCAGCCCCGGCCTCTCTTCTCCCGCACCCATCCACCCCTGAGGGCTGGCCGCCAGGACTTCCCATCAGAGCGCCGGGGCCATTACGGATCTCTCCCCTCATAGCCATTCCTCATTATCCCACACCCGCGTCTTTCCTCACCGCCCGAGCGGGGCCGCGAGGACGGACTCGTTCCCCGGCGGTCCCTGGTCCGCGCCGCCGAAGTAACGCCGCCGCTGCTCCTGAGGGATCCGGGCCCAAACTTCCTTCCCTCACTTCCTCTCAGAAGAAGAAAAAGAACCGGAGTCGCGTCCCAGGCGCCCCGCGGCCTCCTGGAGGAGCTCTTTCTCCCCCCTCCCCCGCTCCCTCCTCACCTGTGGGAGGTGTCAGCCGGCTCCCCTCACATGGCCCGCCGGAGGAGCGGGGTCGGGCCCTGCGGGTGGTGGGCGGGTGGGGGAGAAGACCCTGCCGGGGCCGGCGAGTGGAAGGGGCCGCCGGCCGAGGCGAGAGCCGCGAGCAAAGGCAGGCCGGAGCCAGGCCCAGCGGCCGTTGTCGTGGTTAACCCTCCCTCCTGGTCGTCCTCGTCGTCGTCGTCCCTGGCCAGGAAGCCGAGCCAGCTTTGCGAAGGACCGAGAGAGAGAGAGAGAGAGAGAGAGAGAGAGAGAGAGCGAGCGCCGGGACCACGGTCGACGGCAAGCCGCCACCGCTGCTGGGTCCTAGAGCGAGCCCTTTCGCCAGACCGCGCTGAAGATGGGAGTCGGAAGGCGCGAGCGCCACCTCCGCCGCCAGAGGAGGCGCGCGGCTCAAAGGGAGAGTGAGCCGGTCCGAGATCGCCCTCCCCGTGCAAAAAATAAAATAAAATTTAAAATAAAGGATCCAACCCTCTGAGGCAGAAGAAGCTCTGCCAAAACAAAAAAAAAATAGTACCCAAGATCTACTTTCTTCTGCAAAAGAGGCGACGGAGGGATTTGGGAGGTCAGTGTAAAAAAAGGCTAGCTAGGGAATCTTGCTGGGTTCAGGCTATGCTCTGCAGGCCCGTCTGGGCTGGGCTTGGGGAAAAAGGACCCTTGCTGGTCTCCAACTCTGGACGGCCATGAGAGGCACGGGAAGATGGTTAGCCTCGGGCAGCTTCAGCTCACATTGCAGATTTGGGAAGGTTGTGTTGTTTTCTGATTAAGTAAAAGGCAACCCGGGCAGGGTTCCCCGTTGCTTCATTTCTATTTCACAACAGATCAGGATAAAGAGAAAGGAACTCGGTGAGCCACGTAGAGTGGCTGAGGATCTAAACCAGCACTTCCTTGCGCCGTTGTGGCCTTTTGCAACCCAGGCTGGCTCCTCCAACCACTGTCAGGTTATCAAAGGATGAGAAATAGAGTGCAGGTAGTCCTCCGCTTACAACAGTTCATTTACTGACCGTTCAAAGTTACAACAGCACTGGAAAATGTGACTTGTTTTTCATACTTGCGACCATTGCAGCATCCTTGTGATCAAAATTAAGACGCTTGGCAACTGACTCATATTTATGACAGTTACACTGTCCCGGGGTCATGTGATTACCTTCTGCGACCTTACAAGTGAAATAATGGAAAAGCCAGATTCACTTAAAAAGCACGTTACTAACAACTGCCAGCGATTCACTTAACTGTGGCAAGAAAGGTTGTAAAATGGGACTAAATTCACTTAACTGTCTCGCTTAGCAACAGAAATTTTGGGCTCAATTGTGGTCATACATTGAGGACTACCTGTAATACATTTGTTGTGCAAGGGGCCTCAAGCTATCTTCAATGTGAAACACCTTGTGGGAAGTATGGAAATGCATGTGCTTAAAAGCAATAGTTGTGCTTGTCGTTTGAAGCTCTAGGGGGCGGTGCTCATCTCAGTTTCTAAGACGAAGACCCAGTGCTGTCCGAAGGCGTTCTCCATGGTCATGTGGCCAGCATGACTAAACGCCAAAGGCAAAAGGCACATGGAACGCTGTTACCTTCCCACCATAGTTGGTTCCTATTTTTTCTACTTGCATTTTTTTAGGTGCTTTCAAACTGCTAGGTTGGCAGAAGCTGGGACAAGTAACAGGAGATCACTCCATTAGGCGGCGCTAGAGATTTGAACCGCTGAACTGCCAATCTTCTGATCGACAAACTCAGCGTCTTAGCCACTGAACCACCACGTCCCTCTCCCTATATGACAAGACACCAATTCTTTGATTTTACAGAAGTATGATTGTCAAAGAGTGAACTTAGATTGATGTAAGCTGACACAATAAGGAACAGGAAAGAATATCACAAAACGCTTATTTCATACAGACAAGCTAAAAAGGGTTTCTGGTGATCAAGGGTGCTTAGTAGAATGGTGACTATCAGACAATGGGGTACTGACTTCTATAATGCCACCAGTAAAGAAAACCCCTTAAATTGGGGAGGGGGGGAATAGGCATGCAAAGTGGGCAGGGGGGCTGGATCCTAGTCTGATCTGTGACTATCAAAATAAGAACATGATAGCAGTAATAGCAATAACAGTAGACTTATATACCGCTTCATAGAGCTTTCAGCCCTCTCTAAGCGGTTTACAGAGAGTCAGCATATTGCCCCCAACAATCTGGGTCCTCATT